TATATATATATATATATATATATATATATATATATATAAATAATTGAGATCAAGTATGTAAAATGGATGAAAGGCACAATCCCTTTCCCAAGCAGCTCACGGTCTAATGGGGGAGCCACACACTGCAGCTGGAGAGGTCAGCACGGGACACCCGAGGAGGGCTCCGGGCCTAGCCAGGGTTACCAGCGAGGACCTTGCCCTGGCTTGGAGGCATCCTCAAGAGCCATCAGGCACAGGGGCATAAAGGTGTCCCTGGCAGGGTGACAGCACGAGCACACACGCTGCGGGGACTGGCAGTCTTCTCACCGGAGCACTTGTGCTTAAAAGGGGGGGCCGTGGAGAGGGCGATGCTCATGCCAACACTAAATCTGCACTGGTGGAGCCCCAGGCAGCAGTGCAGGAGGTGGCAGTTCAGGAATAGGACCTTGAGGGAGACCTTTAAAACCTTCTCGGGTTAGAACTTGAGACTGGGGAGGGAGGGGGTTTGGGGACTGAGAGATGGTATGCGAGGTTTCCTTGGTCAAGAAAGGATCCCCTTTGGGTTTGGGCCTGTTGTGACCTGGCTTTTCCCCAACCTGGGTGCTGCTCTAGATGGAGCTGGAGGAGTCAGAACCACCCACAGAGCCTGAGGATCTCCCATCTGACGCCGAGTTCGAGGGGGAAGGTGACTACGAGGAGGGTATCTTTGCCAACTGGTGGCAAGAACCAGATGCCAAAGGAGACGAGGCCGAGGCTGGTCAGTGGCTTGGGCCCTGGTGGAGTGGCAGGGATGGAGGTCGGGAACAGATGCAGAGCCAATGGAGTTTGTGTGTGGGTGCTGGGACCCCTTCTCTGGGGGCTTCCAGCCCATTAGTAACCCCTGTCCCGCTTGGGGGTGGGGGAAGAAGGTACAGCCTCCCTCCCAGAGCTGGGGCCAGCGAGACCTGCTCCTGGGAGCCTCCCCTGCCTCCTCCACCTCCTGCCAGGACAGCACCGGACACCTGTTGGGAGTCGGTGGGGGGCTAACCCCAATGCTTTCTCCTTTGCTTTTCAGAGCCAGAGCCTGAACTGGCATGAAAAGGGGGCGACCTGCATCCCTCAAGAGCTTGGGAAGCCTGGGCCCAGTGGCACCACTCTCACCAGCCTGGGCAGCAGCAAGAACTATTTATTAAAAACTTAAAATGGGCCGGCCTGTGGCTCACTCGGGAGAGTGTGGTGCTGATAGCACCAAGGCCGTGGGTTCGGATCCCATATACGGATGGCCAGTTGCTCACTGGGTGAGCATGGTGCTGACAACACCAAGTCAAGGGTTAAGATCCCCTTACCGGTCATCTTTTAAAAAAAAAAAAAAAAAAAAAAACTTAAAATGGACACAGCTGACCAGGCCCCCTTCCTGTCTCAGCTGTGAGTACTGCTCCCCAGTCCTGCCTCTTCTGTGCCTCTGGGCCACAGGATAGTGTTGGTGCTGCAGGTTGACAGGTGGGCTAATGGGGGTTCGTCCTTCTTCCCGCTGCTGCCCCCACGTGGACAGTGTCCTGGAGGAGAAAGCTCCAGCTGCTGGCCTGAGTCTTACCCAAATGGCAGAGGAGCAGCCAGGGTCGTGAAGAGCACTGGACCGGGAATCTAGCAGTCTGGTGGCCTGACAGTGTGTGCTCAATAAACGTTGGTTGTTGACTGAACCTCAGCACCTGGGTTCCTTTCTCCCCAGAGCTGGGCTGCAAGGGTGCAGGTCCTTTGCTCCCTCCCTCTTTGCCCCTTTCTCCTCAATTGTAAAATGGAGGGGTGGGGACACAGTTTGGTGCCCTGGTTGGTCCTCTGTGCCCTGGGGGTGGGGTGGGCTTGGAGAAGAGAGGAGCGTGTGTGGCATGCAATTGCAGACCCGCCACCAGGGGGTGCGAGGACACTGCCCTCCTGAGTCTCGGGAAGATGGTGGTTTCAGATTTCTAAGACGGGATGTCCTGTGTTTGCCTAGTTCAACATCACTTCCCTTGGGGAATGTGGCAAGTGTGGGGAGGGGGCCGAGGACATCGACTTCTGGCATTTACTGACCCAGGCTCCTTAGAGCAAGCATGCCCTGCTAGGTTGGGGCCCCAGCTCATCTGAGGAGCCCTAGGGATATGATTTGATTGTTGAGACTTGTTGGGGTGCAGTGGGACAGCCAGACACCTCTTGCCCAATCTTGCATCCACTCCAGGGGGTAGGGTCCAGAGGTGTGGGGACGAGGATGGTGCCCTGTAGCTGCCACCAGCACTGTGACTCACCACCACCACCACCCCTATTTCACACAAGGGACATGGGGGCCTCTCTAGGGAAGAACCCAGGGCCGAGGCCAGGCAGGTGACAATTCTGTTCCACTGCCCCCATTTCAGGCCTCCCAGGGGCAGGGTGGCAGAAGCGTCTTCCTACTGGAGAGTGGCGTTGAAGCTGGGAAGCTGAGTTCTCACTGTCCACACCCTTCCCCTCCCCCAGATGTGCCAGGTGACCTGGCCTGTGCCTCGCCCACCTCTGTGCCCAGGAGGACTCCCTGTCCCACCCCAGACCCCACCTCTAGGCCTTTGGTTGGGATGAGTCTGAGTCTGGAGCAAGGGCTGGGTCAAGACACAGGGCTCAGTGACCTCACTCCCTCCCCCGTCCCATGGGTGGGTCTTACAGCTCCCAGGTGCCAGGGTGGCCCTGCCCCACCCCTCCTGTTCCAAGCTGCTGTGTTGTCAGCATCCATGAGGCCCGCCCCTGTTTCTGGGAGGAGCTGCCCTGCAGGGCTGGCACTTCAGAGGGTGGGGAGCTGGGATGTGCCTGAGCTGGTCTGCGCAAACGCGTGCCCGGATGAGTACGAGCTCTGGAATCTGGACGGCCGGGTGTAGGTCTGAAAGTGCCTGTGTGTAGAGTGAGAAGGTCTGTGTGCTGTGCGTCGCAGGGATTGCTGCTCTGGGTGTGAGTGTGTGCCTGCGTGCGCAGGGCTGGGAACGTCCGTGGCAGCCTTGTGGGTGGCTGAGCGTGTCTCTGCACGTGGGTTTGAGTGTGCGTGCACACGTGAACGTGTTTTGAGAGGGTTTCATTCACGCATTCAACATATTTACTGGGCACCTACTGTGGGCCAGGCACGCTGTGGTTGCTGGGCATACAATAGTGAACAAAGCAGGTCAAATGCCCTACTGTCCTCCTCGTGGAGCTTACATTCAAGCAGGAAGACAACAGGCAGCAAACAATAAATGTTGTAATATATAAATTAGGTAGGCATTCAGATATGGGAGAGGGGAAAATAGAGCCAGGGAAGAGGAATCGAGAGAGCTGAGGGGTTGCAGTGTGAGTAAGTGTGTCGAGATGTGTGTCCACGCGTGTGTCTGAGAATGGTGTCTCTGGGTGTGTGACGGCTGAGCAGTGCGCGTTTGGGGGGATCTCCCCTGGGAGCAGAAGGCCAGCCCCTCCCTAGATACGCACCCCTCCATCCAGGCCTTTAGCCCAGGCCCTCCCTGTCCAGTGTGCCTTACTCAGCTCCCCTTTCCCAGGTAGCCGCCTGCCCCTCCCACCTCTCCCAGTGTCTCCCCATTGCCCAGCCAGCTCCCCAAACCGGTGAGACCAAGTCCCAGCGAGTCCCAGCGTGGGCCCTCTGGGGCCCTGCAGCCCATTCTCACAACCCCACCCAGTCCAGGCGCCCTCCCTCCCCCACATCTGTCTCGCTCGCCCCACCTACCTCCTCACCCCGCCCCCGACACCCCACCCAGCACCTCATCAGTCCTAGAATCTGTAGTATAATGGGCCTCACATAAAAGGGCCAGACTTAGGTGCCACAGAGGCGTCCTGGACCCCAAGAGACCCCATCCTAAGGAAATCGTAGCTACTACAGCGTATCGAGTACCCACTGTGTGCCAGGCACTTGACAAATTCTTCATAATCCTCCAAACAGTCTTGCAACAGAGACATCAGTCCCCTCTGCTCCACGCGAGCCTGCGGAGTGAGGAGCAACTTGTCCGGAGCTTGCTCGAGGCGGCTGAGCTGGTCTGGACCTTTCCTCTCGACATCAGTGCTGCTCGGGGAAGGGAGGGAGGGGAGAGAATGCCCTGGTCTCAGGTGTTGTCCTTGTCCTTTTAGGCTGTCAGTGGGGGTTGGGGAGAGGAAGGTGAGGGTTCCCAGATGTGGAGACAAAGCCCTCCAACGCTCATTGTGGGAGGCAAGGAGTTCGAGCAGAGAGGGAGAGGAGGGAAGAGAGAAGGAAGGGCTGGCTGGTTTGCTCACTCGCTGGGGATAACACCAAGGTCGACAAGGTCAAGGGTCAGATCCCTCATGGCCTGGGCACCAGCCGGCTGCCAAAAAAAAAAGGAAGAAAGGAGCGACAAGGAGAAGGGAGCAAGCAAGGGGCCTGGGGACAGAGTTGCTGGGGTCACTTAGACCAACCACTGAATCCTGACAGCGATGGTTAGGGGAGGGGGGAAGGAGTCCCACAGCCCCCCCCCCCCAAATTCCAGTAAATTCCAGTGGGAGAAATCCCCCTCTGAGATTTGAAAAAAATTTTTTTTTGTTTTTGCTTTTGGTGGCTGGACAGTATGGGGATTCAAACCCTTGACCTTGGTGTTATAACACTGTCCTCCGACCAACAGAGCTAACTGGCCTGCCTCCCCACCCCGACAAATAGTTCTTGAAGTCTCACCCTGGTGCTTCCTGTCTCTGGGAGAATAAGGAGTGGCACTTTCCCAATGTCAAAAGGCTGTGTCCAGTTGTCACTAAGACCAACAACTCAACCTGGCTGGGGAGGTCCTGGCAGTGCAGTGGTAGGGCCCAAGCCCCCCTGGCCAGTTTCCCCACTCTGGGTCTTTCCTCCAGGCCTTCCTTCTCCTGCAACTTCTCTCCAAGGACAGTCCTGGCAGATGTCCCCAATTTCACGGATGGGGAAATTGAGGCCTAGAGAGTATGGGTTGGGCCCCCAGGGCTGGGGCTCACTGTAAGCTAGGCTGGCATAGCCCTGCCCAGCTCCCTTCACGATGAGGTTCCAAGATGACTCAGGGATTGAATGGGAGTGTGCTGGGGGCCAGGGTGGCCCACTGGAACCAGCCCCAGCCCAAACCCCAGGCCTGACCTGTGGACACATCACCCCATAATGACCACCTGCCTGGGTCCCAGCTGGCGCCCAGGTACCTGGATAGCATCTCTTCTGTCCCCCAAACAGCCTTTGGGATGGGAGCCTATCTCCTGCCCATGATTCACGTGGGGAAATTAAAGTAAGTGGGAGAATATGCCTGCTTGTTTACCTTCCCCCTGCATACATATATTGATCCTTGACTCTCTGGAAGAACTCCCTTAGGTAGGTCATGTGCAAAGAGGCCAAGAGAACTTGACATTTTCCACTTTGGGTAACGTTTCCAATCTTTCCTTTTAGAAGAAAAGTGCAATCTTACGTTCCTGGGCCAGAGTAAGAGACGGCCAAGCCAGATTTCCTCCTTTTCCCTTGACCACTTCGCTAAATCCTAGTAGCCTTCCTGGAGGAGGAGGCTGGGAAGGGGTGGGGTTCAGCCAGTCCAAGTGGGGAATCTGGCCTTTATCCATGTCCCGGGTGGTTGTGGGGAGAAGGGGATCATTTGAGGGTCTCACAGCCATTAAAGGACTTCCTATTACAAGTTTTTATGTTATCTCCAAATGAGGTTATACAGAGACAGGGGCAGGACTGAAGTCAGAAAATGTTTGTCATGTGACTTTAACCTTTAGCACAATTATTTTGATAGCCCTATTTTGTTTATTTATTTTTTAATACGTTGATATCCTCAGATGGCAATGTCCCTGGCGTTGGAGCTCCTTCCCCCCACCTCTTACACACTGGATCGGGTGGCTTCTCTCCAGCACCCTTATCAACTGCCAGCTCCAGGCATCGCCCGTCGCCCTCCCCCACTCGCCTGCCCCACCCCCTGGCTACTTCCAGGTTCTCTGTTGGGGCCATAAATTATCCGTGAGCTGTACGTTGGCTGCTGCTTCAACTGGAGGCTGAAGTGCTGATGAAATATTCAAGGATCTCAACTCTCAAATTCTTTGGGGGCTGTGGGACGGGACTGGGGAAGATGGGATAAAAGTACCAGGTGGGGGCCTCCAAGTCCCACCCCAGTTCTTACCAAGGTGGAGCCAGGCCTGGAGACCCGGGAGGCCGGGCGGTGGGGTTTGGGGGGTTGGAGAAGGGTCTTTTTGCATAATTCATTGCTGTGG